AGCAGATATGTTTCATTGCCCAGGCCTGGGGAGGAGTGTCTTTCAACATTTGGCAATCAGTACATTTTCTCAGCACCGTGTTTTGTAGACCAGGCTTCCTGTCAGAGATAGACTCCATGCTGAAATCTGAGTGAAGAATGATTAGGGGGAGTGGAGGTGAAAGATAGCTTCAAGAATATGGACATGAGGGAAAGTAAATAGGAAAAAAAAATGAGTGAAAGAAACCCTTGAAGGAGGCATTTAGGGGAGATGCTAACAGTTTACTCTCTGGATTGGTAGGTTGGGGTGTAATTTATGATGCAGTAGGCAAGGGTTGAACAAAAGCTACTTGGTGACTTTGGCATCATATAACCAAGTGTTTTACATTTCTCTTGAACCCATGACAATGACTGTTAACTGACAGTGGGAGGGGGATTTTGATGGGCTTATATGCTACAGGACTGGAATTTTGCTGTTCTCCTTCTACTTTGGTTTCTGGAACTTGTCATAGAATTAGAGGGTATGGCAGTAATAGGCTTGAAGCATTTTCTTTTTAAAATATTTTTAACCATTGATTTATTTGTGTGTACGAGAGAGTGTTTGTGTGTGTGTGTGTGTGTGTGTGAGAGAGAGAGAGAGAGAGAGAGAGACAGACAGACAGACAGACAGACAGAAGGAGTTCAAAGTGCCCATGTGGAAATCACTTCACTCTCTCCACAACATTGGGTTCTAGGAATCACACTCAGATCATCAGGGATGGCAGCAAGCACCTTCACCCATGGAGCCATTTAACCAGCGCATTTTCTTTCTTTCTTTTTTAAAAGCCAGGTCTTGGATTATTACCTTTAACAAGCTTGTTTCAACAAGCAGGAGGCCTGTGAAAGCATGAAGCGAGTTATTAAAGGAGCTTTTAGGGTGATCGTTTCAGAGCCAGTTTTAGGTGATATTTACTAGGAGACCAGGCAAAGAAGCCATGCATCTCAGGGTTGGGATATCACAGTCTTCATGAAGCTCATCTGTGACTCATGAATACATAAGAGAATCATTTAGTGCTTGAACATTCTTTCCCTTTCCCGAAAGGAATGGTTTGTTAGGAGTCAGGCTGATGAAATGGATCAGGCCTTAAGTTGTGCTGATAGGTCAGCTCAGAGAAGCCTCTATCACCAAGGTGAGATAGCGGACAGGCATAATTTGTGTCATTAAATTGACATCTGCTGACCCACACTTGGAGTTTGGTAGCTGGAGTGTCATTAGAATAGAGAGAAGCATCTGAACTCTATTCAAATTTATAGCCTAGAGAGATTACTAGCTTGCTGATATTTGCTCTATTTCATTCTCCCTTCAATATAGTATTATTATCATCATCAGGAAATTATCATTGGGAAAAATACCATCAGCTAATTTATATATTTGAATTGCATTTTTCCAGTATTTTATTGGCCTAAGATCCATTGTATTTAAATGCCATATCATACTGTCTCTTCTAATCTGTGACAGCTTCTCAACCTCGCTCTACAGTTTATGACCTTGACATTTGTAACTACCCAGTTGTTTTGTGTAATGGATTCTACTTCGGTTTGTCTGATGTCTTCTCGTGATTAGATTGAGTTTATGCATCTTTGGCAGGAATAGAACAGACTAATGTAATACCTCTTTGAGCATAATCATACAGAGGGTGCACATTACCGATATGAGTTGTCACTGGTAGGTTAACTGTGATCAGTGGTTCAGGTGGTATCAGTTATCTTTCCTCACCATGAAGTTACCATTTTTGTCTCTGGATTTAACATCTGGTTGGGAGATACTTTGAGAGGACAAATACCTTGTTTCTTATATTTTTGACTCTTGAGCCCTCATTAATTAGTCTTACTTGCTGTCATTATTGCTTTGTTGTTTGTCTCATGGTTGATTTTTGTTTGTTTGTTTGTTTGTTTGTTTGTTTTTGGAGACAGGGTTTCTCTGTGTAGCCTTCGCTGTCCTGGACTCTCTTTGTAGACCAGGCTGGCCATGCACTCACAGCAATCTGCCTGTCTGAGCATCTCTGAGTGTTGGAATTAGAGGTGTGCGTCACCGAGTTTGGCTTCAGGGTTGTGTTTTTTAAATTACTATCAACCTTTCTCCTTATAAATTGTAATTTAATATAAGGAAAAACTGATTCTTTCCCCTCCATTTATTTATTTAGTCATTATTTATAGGCGTATAAGGTTTTATTTTATTTGATGGGTAGCATTCCATTATCATGATCAGAAGTTTCCCTCATTGTCCAGATTTGGCCACTGGAGACCTCTTTAAGTTAACAGCACAAAGTCTTTGCTGCACCGTGTTTCCCTTATAAGCATTTTATTTTCTGGGACCTTATTTTCTGGGACCACAGGATCTTTTAGGCTTAGCTTACAGTTTTGCCTCAGTCCATGAAACTGGTATTTTTTTCCAGTGAGCTCTGCCTCCCTTTGATGGAAAATCATATTTAGGAAATCAGGTTCTGTGCCATTGCTACTGGGTATCTTCATTTTTAAGCTTTTGTAGACTGAGTTAGGATTAACAGTGTATATACTTCTACGTAATATACACATTTATTTCTGTAAATACCTGTATAGATATATAGAACTGATAATATTAAAATCCATGAGTATATGGAGAGGCTAATTTCAAAAAAACATTGAAGGTATTGGTTAAAGCAATCTTACAGGTAGTTACAAATAATATTGTAAAAGAACTCTTTTTTTTTCTTGGATATGAACTTAACATGTTCTTTTTACCTGTAGCATTTTAGTTTCTATACTCTTGACAGGAAGTTCTTTAAACTCCTCATCCTGCTAAAAATATGTCTTTTATCTAAACTTTATTTTTAACAGAGATTACAGGAAATAGATTTCTCCAGACCCCCCCCCCCCAAAAAAAAAAATCACTCTATAGTGACTGTCTGGGGCATTCTGCACCTCCTGATCGACACTCATGGAAAATATCCTACAAATTATCCTTCAGAAATTCAGCCTTTCTGAAGCAGCCCAGATTTTAGAGGATGCTATATGTCCATGTTTCTAGCGCAAAGACTCCTGGGAGGCAAAGCCTGGCGTACTGGGGAGGCTGTTTTTTAAATACGTCTATAACAGCATCTAAATGTGTTTAAAATGTCCCAGCTCCTCAGAACTTACAATATGAAGGGATCTGAGCCTCATACCAACCCATTTCTTTCACATCTTTGAATTGAAAACTATATAAATAGACTGGACATAATAAAGATCCATCCACAGACAAAACAGCATCTAGGCATGTGCCATTAATCCTTGCACAGGAGACAGGGAACGACCCCAAGGACTTCCAGTAACCCATGACTCAGCTGACTTTCACCCGGAACATGCCCGCCTCTCAAAGCTCGGGTTCTCCTCTTTGGGAGAAAGGGCAAGAAACCCTCTGATTGTGCCATGTTTTAGTGGTTGTTCCTAAAACTGCCTGCCTCAGCGAGATGAGGCATACTCTAAGGCTGTAATGTAAACCTCAGGAAACTCAAAAGGCTTGATACCTCTGAAGTCTATTATTTGCTCACAAAGAATTGAAATCAGGAAGCAGTAATAGAGATCTGGAAAAATCTCCAAATTATCTGGACATACCTTTTGCTTGCCCCCAGTAATGATGGATTCCTCTACTGAAACAGCTATAAAATAATGAGCATGACAGAATAAACATGGAAACCATTCATTAGCTCATGGCATTAAACACCAGATGTGAAGCTCAAGACTGATATTTTGTTGTTGTTATGAATCTGGTTCTTATTCAGAGATGCAAAGTTTTACCTGAAGTCTGACTAAAAACTGGTTGGCTTAAATGTTACCAAAATAAAATCCTTGACAGACACAACATAACTAGGTATGCCATTAGAATATGTTCTGAACAGAAAAACTTCTTATAGGCAGAACACTGGTTGATTAGCAGCATCATGGAGGCAGTAAATCATGTTAGTCAGCTTTTGAATTTCCGTTAGCATTTCTCTTTTCAAGCCTTTAGAAGCCAGTGGAAGTGAGCTGAGTGTGCAAGTTAGCAATGTCATTTATGTAAGCTTCTGGAGTAGTAAAATTGACAAGAACTCTGGAATTCAAACTTATTTTTGCCTAAGTCCTTACTACCTTTCAAGGACTTAGGAGCACATTGGTTGAAGATTTTATTGTTAAAATTAAACCTTTTTGGTTCCTCTCCATTTACCAGGTGAAAAAAAAATGTATGCTGTTCATTATAATCTTCTATCTTTCCCACTACATAGGCCAGGCTGGCAGAGGGATCTGCCTGCCTCTGATTCCTGAGTCCTGGGATTAAACATACCTATCGCCTTTCATAGGTCTTCATTGCTGCCTTTGAACTTATTTTGAGTGGATAGTCAGCGGTGCTAAGCAATCATAGTGAGAGCCATGCCCCTTGCCACACAGTGGAGAGCAACTGCATTTGTTACAGTGGACCATATGGACAATAGGGGATTTGTCTTATGTCTCAAAGATGTTATAATAGGCATTCTGTAGAGTGACAGCCATTCCTTGTGTTCGTGAAATCCAGGCTCAAGGCGGTGCTGGCTCTAGCCTGATTAGACATGGTTTTCTGTGCAGATCAAGTTGTAAAGTTGGCTTAGTTTTGTGACTTGTTCAAGTCTGCTTTGGACATTGAAATGGGGCCATGAACAGTCTTGGCTTCTATTTGCATCTTGCCTCCATGGAAAATCCTTGTGCATCTTACCTGCTCAATGGATGGAAGGGAAAGAGATCGTGATTTAGGTGTTGAGGTTCTGTGGATTTTGCAGGTGTGAGACAGTCCTTCTGGTTCTCTGTCTACTAGAGTGGTTCAAGTCATTCCATGGGGCTTTGCTGAATACCTCAGAAGTACTCAAAGAGTAAATACCAAGACATCAGACCCACGGGCAAGAGCATCTCAGACATTGGCCATCTCTGTCCTTTTCTGTTTACCTGCCAATCTGTGCATGGCCTCCTGGTGTCCTTTGCCTCTGATGGTTACTTTTCTCCTTCCTTCTCCTGCAGACATGCCTTGAGTTGGAACGCTACCTCCAGACAGAACCCCGGCGTATCTCGGAGACCTTTGGTGAGGACTTGGACTGCTTTCTGCACGCCTCTCCTCCCCCGTGCATTGAGGAAAGCTTCCGGCGCTTAGACCCCCTGCTGCTCCCAGTGGAAGCCACCATCTGCGAGAAGAGCTCTGCAGTGGACATCTTGCTCTCTCGGGACAAGTTGCTATCTGAGACCTGCCTCAGCCTCCAACCAACCAGCTCTTCTCTAGACAGCTACACAGCGGTCAACCAGGCCCAGCTCAACGCAGTGACCTCATTAACGCCCCCCTCGTCCCCTGAGCTCAGCCGCCATCTGGTCAAAACCTCACAGACTCTCTCAGCCGTGGATGGCACGGTGACGTTGAAACTGGTGGCCAAGAAGGCTTCCCTCAGCTCAGTGAAGGTGGGAGGGGTGGCGGCGGCAACAGCCGTGACACCAGCTGGAGCAGTTAAGAGTGGACAGAGCGACAGTGAACAAGGAGGGGTAGGGGCTGACACATGCCCTGAAAACAAGAAGAGGGTCCATCGCTGTCAGTTTAACGGGTGCCGGAAAGTTTATACAAAAAGCTCCCACTTAAAGGCCCACCAGAGGACTCACACAGGTAGTGGTACAAGTTGGCCGCAGGTCTTTTCTTCCTCTTTTGGGTGTTCCCCTTGTGGTGGGATGGGCTTCTCCTGTAAGAAGTTACCTTCTTGCTCGCTAGGATGGCACAGGGAGGAAGGAGGGCTGGCTAGGGAATAGTATGACTCACTTCCGACCATAAGCTCTTAGGAAGTCCCAGTACAGGACATGCCTGGCTGAGGAGAGCTAGTTTCCAAGGCAAGACCAACCCCAAGAGAGAACCAGGCAGTTCTGAGGCTGCTGGAAAGGGGCTCTGGGTGTGACTCACAGACATTCCTCAGGCCCTGTCTACACGGGCATTTGTCATTGTTTTGTCACTGTGTCTCTGCAGGTTTGATCAGCATTAAAAGTTGAAGGGGTACATGTCAAAGCATTCACAGTTAAACTAGGTAGCCAGGGTGTCCCTGTTCACTCTTTTCCCAGCATCCCTGATTTCTTTATCAAAGTCACCAACAGCAGGAGGGTTTCAGAGTTCATTAGATGTGATCATTCTATAATTAATTGGCATCTCCTCTTTTGCATTGTTCTCTGGCTCGTGCTTTATGGAGAGATGGCAGAATTGCTTTTTAATGAGCTTGTTACCGAGAAGAAGTTGCTAAAGTGATTTCATTGCTCTGTGGTGTGTGTGTGTGTGTGTGTGTGTGTGTGTGTAGGGTGGGGACGGGAGGGGTGGAGGGCTGTATATTTTACTCAGAATTCCTGTGCTGATTCCGGGAAATTTTACTGGTCTTTGGGGCAGTGGGGTCATTTGTATGTGAGGGGTTCATACAGAGGAGTGGGAAATTGGCATTTTCCTTGAGACTGTCTTTGTTTTCAGTTCTGGGGTTGGAAGTTGGGGTGATGTCTCTTCTTGGTCGGCTAAAGTGCCACTAGGAGCAATTACTGAGTTTGGCGGTTTTTAAGTGGGTCGCTAACAGTGTATTGCTTGTATGGTTCTTGTATACTGCTTAAGGAGAATCCCCAAAGGTATTAGAGAGAAATAATGTTCTCAGAGTAAGTCGGTGATGGCATACGAGGTAAGAGAAGTCTCTGGGGCCGCATGCAGGCCTTTCAGTCCCAGGACTTGGAAGGCAGAGACAGGTGGCTCTCTGTGAGTTTTAGGCTCATCTGCTCTACTTAAGTGAGTACCAGCCAATCAGGGCTATATAGTGAGACCCTGTCTAAAAATTCAATCAACTAAGCTACCCAACCTGATGCTGGGGGTTGGTAGTGGGGGTGGGGAGATGGGAGTGTGGCACTCTGTGTCACCAAGGAAGCTGCCCTGGCCCAAAAGTCAGACAACCTGGATTCTTTTTCTAGCTCTGCCACTGACTATTCTGGGACACTGTTGTCTCTTTACTGCTTGAACCCTGTTTTCCACATTTGTCAAACAATATGGCTCCGAAGGCCTCATTCAGCTCTGATGTTTGGGTGGTTCCTGTGATGTCTTTGCAAGACCATAAACAGTTTTTCTGAAGGAAAATGAATGCCTTGTGAGTAGAAGCCACGGCTTTGAACCTCAGAGGTACTGTCATGCAATGCAGAGGACCAGCATTCCCTCTTATATCCTGACCTAGGAACACGCTCCTGAGACTGAGCTGGAAGCACTGTGGCTCTTGCCGGGTTTGTGGTATGGTCTCCCTAACATAGCTTCTCAATCTCATGGCCCAGCTTCGGCTTCCCATCAGCATCTGCGCTCAAGTTCTCCAGCTCCAGGCACCATGCTTCCTTCTTCTTCAGTCCTTTCCCTCTCTTGGTACCATTCTGAAAGGATTTTAATTTTCATTTCTTTCTTGGTTGAGTCAGGGAAGAAAGTAATGACAAGGTACGACAGCGCCTCCGGTTGCAGAACAAAACTCACTCCTGCCCTGCAAGGAAGCCAGAGGAAGCAAAATGAAGTGAGAATGTTGAGATATTCTGAGTTGTGAAATACAGGGATGTAGATAGTTACCAGTATGAACCTTTGGCCCCTTGTATAGAAGCTGGGTAGGTCCGAGGAACAGAGATTTGGGGAGTGGTGGGTGAAAGTCCAGATTTTTCTTTTATTCACCCTGTTACCTCACAGAGAATTCCAGAGACTAACTGTGATGACTGATGCATTACTTGGGGCTTTGTTCTTTGAAAATGGCGTCTCAGAGCGGGTGCCAAGGTTGGTCTCGTCTTTTCTGAGTTTCAGTCTCCTCATCTATAAAGACAGATAACTGCATCCACATCACACATAGTTTCCAAGAGTGAATAAACAGTTTACTTGGCAGATCGTACATAATAGCTCATTAACAATAGTAGTGGAGTTGTTTTATTATTATTATTATTGTGTTGGTGGTGGTTTGGGTTGTTTCTCTTGATGTTTTGACCTCAGTTAGTGATAACTGCACCTTTATGCAAACTAGAAATGAGGTGGTTAGCTAGTACTACAGAAAGGTTGAGTATCCTGGACCACAAATCCAAAAGGCTCCAAACTCTAACTCTTTTTCCTTGTGTATGTATGTATAGGTGTTTGTCCCAACGAGTTTCCCCTTCTTCTACTCCTCCCACTTTCTCCCCGTCTCCCCTCTTCTTTAGATCCATTCCCCCCCCCCCATTTCCCTTTAGAAAGGAGCAGGCCTCCGGGAGACAACAACCGAAAACAACAAAACAAGGTACAATAAGACAAGGCAAAAGCCCTCATATCAAGACTGTACAGGGCAGCCCAGTAGGAGGGAAAGAATCCCAAAAAAGTCAGAGACACACCAACAACTCCCACTGCCAGGAATCCCACAGACACACCAAGCTAACTGCCATCACATCTGCTGAAGATTCATGTAAGCCCCACGCTTGCCCCTCCAGCCTCCGTGAGCCCATACGAGCCCTGCACAGTTGATTCGGTGGGCCACGTTCTCTTATTGTCCTCCAACCCTCTGACTTCTGTAATTTTTTCTCCCCATTTTCCATGGATTTCCCCAAGCCCTTAGGGGAGGAACCCTACGGATACCTCTGATTTACACTCTGTCTACATAATGTCTGGCTATGAGTCTCTGCATCCTCTCCCATCTGCTTTTAGAGGAAGCTCTAGGATGGCAACAAGACGCCCATCTATGAGTCTAGCAGAAAACCATTGAGAATCATTCCCCTGACTTCTTTTTTAATGTAAGGCCTGAATATCTGAACCCAGATGCTCATGCATATGTGGCAAGCACATGACCAAAACTGAGTCATTTCTCCAGACCCTCTGCAAATTTTTTTGAGATCCCTATTTGATACCACAAGTAGACAGTTCCACAACTGGCACAAACAACAGTCAAAATGCAAGCAAACAAACAAACAAAAAAAAAGTTGTAAAATAATACCTTCAGGCTATTTGTCTGAAGCGTTTATGAGACATAAGTAGTTTGTGTTTGAACTTGAGTCTTATCCTTGAGATACCTCATGTGTGTGAATGTATTCCAAGATCAGAAAATACAGCATCTGTGACATTTCAGCACCCACACATCGGGGTACATGGAACGTGCAGTCAAGTGAGTTTTCTGACTCTGGTGACTGATTTGTGGGTGGGGAGAGATGATGTTCATGGACACGAAGGTGGAGGGTTAAATGGACCCTGCAAGCTGTAGCCTATGGAAATTGGCAGTGATGTAGAATACGGCTTTCCTAAGATAGCAAGGGAAGCCATCACCAACCATCCTACAAAAGCCTTCTACATCTAAACTGTTCTGAAAGACGGGCACGGATAAAAGAAGGAGAGGAGGTGCTGTAAGGAAGAGAAATAGATGAAAAGTGGGGCGGGGATGAGGATGGAGGATGAGAGCGGGAATATGAATTAATTTGGATTCAATGGATGGGGAATCAAGTATTTATTTGGAATTGGTGTGAATGGGGCACATGGGGAACTGAAAATGAAGGCGATAATTTATGTGGTGTGGATGAACTAAGAATAATGAAAAAAGCACGAAGGGTAGAATCAGATTAAGTGCCTACATATAAAGGGGATGGGCTGTTGAGAGCTTGAGGGCAAAGGTGGCTGGCAGTGGGAACTGGGGTGGAAGAGTCTGCTTGTGGATAGAAGGAGGCAGAGGGGAGAGCGCTGACCAAATGTTGAAAGGAAGTTTTTTTAAAATGGGCTATGGATGGACCCAGGCAAATTATTTAAGGGTAAGAGTTACTTCAAGTCAGTGGAGATATTTCTTATTTTTCTGATGTTTGGCAGGTAGAAAAAGAAAGGCCTTAAGGAAAGGATCCTAGAGAAAGGAGCGATATTGGCTTCTTGTTTTCTAGAGTTTGATATATATATAGATATATAGATATATAGATATCTCTCTCTCTCACTCTCTCTCTATATATATACCATATCTCTTTTGTATGGTAATATGTTGCAAAGGAGACACAGTTATAAAATAAAATGTGTGAGCCTCTGTCTTTTCCACATAAAGACAATATATTATGGTGACGTGGACTTGCTCACATTGAGGAATTTTTAAAATGTTATTCATTTAGTCTTTATATAGATGAGATTTACTGGGCTGGAAAAGACACGCTTTTTTTCTTTTTCTGTGGCTGTTTTTGAAAATGCTGAATTCTGCAAACTTTTTGGCCTGGAGGATATCAAGCAATGAGGTGGATTTTTTTTTTTTTCCTAACTGATTTTGTTGAAATTGGTAACTTGGGCCCAAATACTGTTTTGTAAAGGAGGAGAAGTTAGGGATGGGGACTCAGGGGAAAAGGGCAAAAAGGTGAGACAGAGCTGGATGACAGGAACGTGAGGAGGATCTTAGAAGAGGGAGGTGTAGGTACAGTTTATCCACGTTTTCAGCAGCCATGCCATTACACATCTTTGACCATCCCCCTTTTCTGATATGTGTGATAGTCTTCCTCAATTATTGACTTGCTGTGATCATAGTTTTCTTCATTCTGCCTACAACTGGCTGAATTATCCTTACATTTTTAATACTAGGGGACCTTCACTTTCAATGCTTAAGAAACTCTCTCCATTGTGCTCATTTTCAGCAGCACACAATTGCTTAAGATGTG